GATAAATAAATTAAATAATAATTATTGAGTTTAACCAATAGCTAGACAGCTATGGCGAGGAGACTTAATTTTACCATCATCTGAGGATTTCATGAGATATTTGTAAATGTCTTTTTTATACTCTTTTAACTTTTTTTTACTGGTTGAATGATTGATTGATTGATTGATTGATTGTAAGAAAGCATTTCCCATTCATAGCACAAAGACACAGAATGGAAAGCAAGGAGGGAGGAATAAAGGCTTTACATTTTGGGCTACAAATATAAAATGTACTGTAACAATATAAAAGCTTTATTTTATTTTTTTAGCCAATCAGTCAGTCTAACTTGAAATACAGTGTTTCACATATTATTATATAATATTATTCACATTATAAATGATTGATAAGAAAAAACAAGAACAGATGATACAAATAAAAACTAGTAAATTAAAGCGGCAGAATGCAAGTATATAATGAAAGCATAAAAGCAAACCTCAGTAACAGCACCCTTGCAAAGTACAGTACAGTATCAAAGTGTACTGTACTTTGCAAGGGTGAAAGGCTCGGTCATCTGAGGACGTACAGCATGTCCTCAGATGGCCGAGCCTTTCAGTACTCACTTGCTCACTAGCATGGAGATGATTTCCTTCCTGCTTTCATTAAATCAGGGAGTGCATTCGGCAGCATCACTTTTTTTATCTTTGAAAAGAATTAACAGTGGATGAATACCAGAATCTGTCACAGCGTCTGACATGAAGGCAAGACACTAGTATACTAAAATAAGCAATGTTTGTTATGCTGTTCTTAATAATAAAGACTGAATGATTAAAAAGATACTTTAAATGACAGATGATAGAAAATGTGGTGGATACAGGTGAGCTACAGGTGCAGCCTTTGAAAGACGTGTCGTATTGAATGGTGTATTTCAGTTGTTAGAAGCTACAAGGCTGTTTTATTGCACCTTTAACATCTGAATCTAAAGTGAACTCCACTTCATTTCCCCCCAGCACAGGAGTTTACCTTCTGTCAGCCCATGTGAGGCCACAGAGGTCATAGTCAGCCATTGTAGTTGAGGATACTGTTACCTCCACCAGCATCAGCCCACACAGCAGTCAGCACAACAGATGGCCAGGAGGGAGGAGAAACACTGACAGAGAGAGACAGGGAGAACACCATCATCTTTTCTTTGACATTTTCTGTCCCCCAGAAGCGTTCCTCAGCAAAGCTACTAATCAGATGAGATACGGCTATGCCAGAGTGGAGCGAGTCTCGTTACTGCCTTGTTTTCGAAATAATTTAAAATCAATGATTCTTTATACTCTTCCTTATACAGTTGTGTTTCAAATTATCCACATTTGTCATAACTTTAAGAATGTGAGCAGCTATTTAAAAAGACAATTAAAGACTAATATTACCAAGCCACAGAGTGAAGTCACAAGGCTTTGTACATAATGTAAAATATGTTTGAGTTCTCTTTGCACAGGACTGCAATCAAATGTCATGCACATACTAGAAATTCCACAACAAATAACCTTATATTATTATATTATATTATATTTACCATATTTCGTCACAGTCATCTTATAATATTAGAATGGGAGTGTTTCTCTTTTTTTCTTCTTCAGGCAGTTCAATAATTTTGGATGCTGCAGTGGTAGTTATTGTTATTGATTTCTTTGAAAGCATGGTGGCTATGTGCACCTTCATACTGCCATGATTTCGTATTGGACATGATGCAGTATTAAATTACATTGCTGCATCCCACACATTGACTCTCTGTGGCTGTGTATATTTAGATCTTTACATTGTTTGTTTGCAGCCGCATCCATAATATGCAGAATTCCAATCACAGTACAAGTCCTTTCACTGTGGACACAGATATTCAGTGTCTCCCTTTATGAAAATCCTTTTATGTATCTCAACCTGTCACTTAATGCATCTCATCTTAGCATTCAAGCTAATAATAATTAGCTAATCAAGCTGAAATGTGATGCAACACACCTGTAGTCTTTTACAGTCTTTTCTCTGAACTCTCCAACTTAATCTCTTTGGGAACTAAATGTGCTATACTGTATACGTTGACTGCTGTGGGTTCATTGGGTGCAGTGCAGTGAGGCAGCCATCTTGGCTCAGTGAGTTCAGTGAGTTCAATGTTGCTGGAGGCTGGCTGGCTGGCTGGATCAGGTGGCAGTGCCAGATCTCTGATATCAATCACCAGTCGCCGCCGCTGCTGCTGCTGCTGCTGCCGCCGACACTGTCTGCTGTGTCGCC